GTGTCTTGCTGCGGAACAGTGGCATCCACGTGAATTGATTCTCAAACTGGTAGAAAAAGGTGCACATTTGGAGTTTCGCGATTCGGAAACGCTCACTCCGTTACACCGGGCCGCCATAGCCGGCAATTTCGAGGCTATCAAGGTATGATCAGTTACACACTTTGCTTTTGCTTTTCATTTGAATTCAGCTGTTTCACCATTATGTTTAATCATCAATTGCGACTCACTTCATTCTTTAAATAGGTATATCTGGCACGAATTTATCGGACTCGAACGTTGTAGCCCAACTGCTTCATATTAAATGCCTATTCATATTGCTTTTTGACCACCCTCACAGCAACTATGTTCTATATAATATGTGACCGCTTCGATCGCATCCTACACTACCGCAGAGGACGTTGTACAATAGTTGTTGGCAGCATGAATTTTGTTCATGAGTTTAACACCGCTCCCCAGCCTTGGTTCCCATTTTTACAGCCTATTGGATCTGATTGGCTGAATAATGCACTTCGGAATTTCCTAGTCTGATGAGTCAGGATTCTCATGCCTCTGGCTTATTTCTAAGCTACTGTTCCAGTTTATCCGTAACTCGGTTTGATATCGCGATCCGCGAAGCACTTAGTTGCGGTTTCCGGCTATGCCCTTGTCCTTCCTGTTTGATTTGCTTGATAACTGGATCAAAGCTTCGCTCTCACCGAGTACTTCTACGTTTCACAAATTCGCTTGTGCACTGACCTTCTTGGATATTGATTGATCGCATAAGTCAACAATTCAATTGAGTCCATCGGGTATATCAGATGTGTACAACGCGGTTTAAGGAATACCAGCTGTAGTCCGTCAACCCCCCCCCCTCTCTCNACACACACTATCTTGGGGTCAGATTTTGGTCATTCCAAACTGCAATCGAAAATCCTTTCAAAGCAAACTCGGCCTCGCTCTTGGCGAGTTTGTACTGTTGCGCTTACAAACAACCTATGGATCAATGTCGCTGACGTTGTGATGCTTTCACTATTGTCTGTTTGATGCTCGGCTACACTCGGACAGGTTCGTAATATAATTGTCATCGATTCCGTTGCGAGTTAGATTGTCGCGGATTGTCTCAAACGAGTTATATATATATATATATATGTCAAAAGCGAATACGTTTTCACCAATACGAACCCCTAGTCGAAACCTGGTGTATCTCTTCATCCATCTGGATTCGTTGTACTCGTGTCAAGTCAGTCAAGCCATCAAACGCCTTATGCACTCAAAACAAAACCACTGCGAAATCAGTTTGATTCCGATGGTCACCAAAGTGCTAGCCTCGGTCATAATTCAAAGTCTGACACCTTCAGAGAGACCAACATCCGTGAACAGCAAACCGGATTCCGCCTTGACGGTGGTTGTATTGAGCATAGATTTACGTTGTCCTTGAGCTGCGTCACACCCACCGTCGATCAATGATCACAGTTTTCCCTGACCTGAAAGGAGCCTTCGACTCAGTCGACCGCGAAGCTCTGATGAGCTCTCTTCTTGGAAAAGGAACGCCCCAAAAGTACGTTAACTTACTGAGGTCACTGTACTCACACACTTCCGGTCGTGTAAGGGTTTACAACAATCTAAGTAGGCCGTTCGTCACCAGCGGCGGCGCCCGTCAAGGATGCCCTGTTCAATTTCGTCGTAGACGAAATACTGGAGAGCGCACTAAGGGGACTCCAAAGCGTAGGTATTGAATGGGCAGCTGGAGAAGAGCTATGCGATTTGGAGTACGCCGATGATATCGTCTCTGTTCGAATGTATGGAGTACGCGCAAAGCGCACTTGATAGATTAACAAGTGCAGTAGCCACATTCGGTATGTACACACCTTCAAAGTGCAAAGTAATGCTGCCGGACTGGGTTTTGTCTACTCCCTCTCTAAAACTCAATGGCCAGGATTTAGTTATGGTGGATTGCTTTTCCTACTTAGGTAGTTGCGTGACCAGTGACAGTAGTGCAACAAAGGAGATAACCGCCCGAATTTCCAAGGCTCGAGCAACATACGCAGGACTGAAACACCTTTGGCGTAGACGCGACATTTCACTGAAGTTGAAAGGTCGTGTATATTGTGCTAGCGTTCGTTCAGTCCTGTTTTATGGTTGTGAGACCCTGAATTTGCGAGTAGAAGATATTCGTCGACTGGAAGTTTTCGATTATCGGTGTTTACGTGGTTTAGCCCATGTTGGATGAAGTTAACTGGTTAGTAATGTGGAGTTAAGCCGTCGTGTGTTTGGGGAGTCTATCAGGTATAAACCTGGTGGCACACCGAATTCCGATCACTAGGCTTCGCTGGCTAGGGCACGTATTGCGTAGGCCCAGCTGTCGTCTGCCGCACCGCACTTTATTCGCTGTAGCTAATCCGGGCTGAAGAAAACCACATGGAGGTTAACAGGTGACGTGGAGACGAGGCATGAAGAAGTGCACAGAGCCATTAGATAAAGTAGGTGTCTCTCACCTTCCAGGTTGGGGTCCGAAAGACTACAACTGGTTGGTTTGAGACATTGAAGGATATGGCAGCGAACCGACAGCAGTGGCTTTCTTGTTGTCGCTATGCATCCACAGTTCGATTGCGTACTCTGTGCGTCGATCATTTTTACCGACTGAAACGGAAATTCTAGTCGAACCGCCAACCTGGAGGACCAAGAGATTGGACCTCGTCCGACCCCTACTCTTCGACCTTTCAGGCATAATGAGATCTTCAGTTTGACAAAAACCATCCTGTGTAGCTTGTTGGGTCGGAGAGGTGCAAACTATCTCATCGTTTTCCGATCACAATCAGATGGTTTGTTCCGTATCAGCCATAGAATATGTAATAGGCCTAATGAATTAACTTTGTCTTGTGCACTGCAATTTTTCTCTCTCGAAGATCCGACAATGCAACCAAAGAAAAAGATAATGTGACACAAAACAGACCGAAAGTCACTCCTCCCAAAACGGTTTGAAAGTGCTCCTCTGTGCCAGATGAACGCCGGATTGAGATCAGGATAATAGAGTTGCGACGTCACAGACGAACCTGCGTATGATTGGACGGATGAATGCAAAGCCCCGACGTTTCGCTAACATCAAATTGATCTCATTTTTCTGCTGTTGAAGTGTTTGAGAACAAAATTGCTCAGTTCTCACTGGCGATGACGGAAACTCGTGGTATTTTCCAGCCGGGATCAGTCAGTCAGTCAGTCGATTCAAGAATGCATGGTTGCTAAGTAATCGCAGTTACGTGAGGGCGTATTAGTTAGTCTATCATTGTGTTTTTCTTGGTCCTCTGTTTCTCGATCGAGCCGGAAACCGCCATGCATGCAGTTCGACGTGTTGTAAAAACGCGCACAACAATGCATTTATATATACATCCTCTCTTCCGTAGGTTTTCTTCGCAGTGTAAAATTGCACGCCGGAAAAAGCGCGGTGCACGAGCGAGCGAGAAAAGTAGAGATAAAACAATCCATTTTATGTTATTCGGTTCGCACAGTTCAAGGCGATCGGGAATATATGTCTGGTTCATTCATATTGAAGGTGTGGAAACGGTGCGAACATTGTTCTTTTGCGCACACACACACACGAGCGCACCGTGTATATATATCAAAACAGCACACAATACCAGTGTGAGAACTATATGTATAGATCTCCATCTCCGCTGTATATCTGCCCGAATGAAGTGTGCTTGTGTATAGCTCCGATCGCATCAGTTTTGCACTACTGCTCGCAACCAAGCACAAAACAGCTTGCTACTTACCCACTTCGTTTTCTGATATTCAAATCATCCGTTTCAACTTTTTTAAGTATTTTTATGTGTGTGTGTAACAGTATTGTGTGATGAACGACAGAAAGGGTAAACCTTATGGTCACGAGGAGTTGCTATTTGTTGAGTTGTTGGTTGACAAACCACGTAAGGCCCAAATAGCATGGACGTGCTATTGTTCTGGAGATCAGCGAATCCACTTGCAGCCACAATTGACTGATGGTATCCGGGTTAGGATCCTGGGGTCCGTCACACAGAAACAGTATACATTTGTTAGATTTAACGGAATACCTTATACCCCCATATCTTGCTCACCTGTTTGAAACACGTTCATACTGACCCTCAGATTGTTAGTCAGTGTCACTTTGTTATCCTTTCATTTTACTTTTACACTGACGCATGCACCGTCTCGCTTCATTCCTGTGCCTTTTGCTCACCATTCAGGCGTTACTTGACTTGGGACAAAATCCGAATGTTCGAGACGCTCGTGATTTAACACCTCTATATCATGCGGTATCTCAAGACGTGCCGACTCGATGCATCGTTCAGTTGCTCTACGATCACGCTATTCTGGGTGTGATGGACGATAAGAATCGTCAGGAGATCCATCAGGTTCGTCAGTGTGCGCACCGGTCCGTGTGCTCCTCTGCTGTTCCCCGAACATGTTTTATTAGTCCCCGTACGTTTAAATCCGGTGGAACTGTTTGTGATAACCGACGACAAACAGCACTGAACGGTTTTTGTTTCGTCCTCCTGTTTGCGACTCGTCCGTGCAGTGCGTACTTTCTGTGTCCCCGTGTCAGGACAGGACTCGAACCGCGAACATTTGGGTCGGGACTTTAAAACCGTTATCCTTGGGCTACACGATCGATGATTATCACCTTGTGCGACTGGTTCAATCAAATTAGATGGTCAATGTTTGAATTAGCCCATACGGTTCTTCACGGGTACCAGGCACTGTTGATGATGATGTTCGGTGTGGGTTTCACTCACTGAGAAATTGTTAATTCCCCACTATTTTATGCATTTAAATCCGGTGGAAATGTTTGCGATAACCAACGAAGAGCACTGGACAGCTGTTTCGTTCTCCTGTTTGGGACTCGTCAGTGCAGTGCGGAGTGAAACCCATGCCGAACATCATCAACAGGCCTTATGCCTATGAAGAACCGAATATGCTAATTCAAAAAGTGCCCATCTAAATACCTCCGTACCCTTCAAAAATATTTTGTTCTCAATGGCATAGAATATGGTTCTAATCGGCAACCGGAGCAGATCTACTCGTTGTGTGCGTGTGTGTGTGTGTGTGTATGTGCCTCACTTTGTGGCTTGGACACCTGTTTGTCCATCAATCCCGCATCGCTCATTGGTTGTACAATGATTGCGCACTGTTAATCGATTTCGACATACCGATTGAGTAATTTTTGTCGAATGACGCGCCACTAGTATCACATGTTCGCTCTTCCTCTTTGCTCTCACCTGTATTTTTGCGTCGTTCATTCTGACCTCGTGAGCTGTCGTTGCGGGGTGGTCCTAAACGCGTGACTTTGGGTTCGTACATTTTATGCCGAGTGTGTATTCATCCGCGCAAGTACACGGTTATATTGTTGTTGTTGAATAAAATGGACCGCGTTGTCACACGGAGGACGAAGGATGCGATTGACGGCTTCTAATATCCCAGGTATCTATGGCAGTAGGAATTTCGTTTTCCTCTCTTCATCCTTTGGTTTTCTTCCCCTGAAGCATAATTTAGCAAAACGTTTGGGACACGGCGAAACAAAGTGTGCACACGGTTTATCTGGTGGCACGTGTTCTGATTACTATCGTAATTCAGTGCCTGATCAGTCTTTATCGGTCTCCTGTGCACACCGGTTTCAGAATTTCTTATGATGAGGATATCTAAGAAAGCGAGTATAGTGTCGGTTTTTATCCCGGGGTTGAATGCCATCCTTGGCATAACCTTAATCAGATGTTCATCGGTTAGTTCAACTTTTGACGCTAACACCATAAAGGTGTCTTCTACATCTGTTCCAATACGTTGGCTTCGATTTTCTCTTCATTTTTTTTATTACATGCTTTTGTGTGATGAATAACAGACGAGATGCACTCCATAATCGCGAGGATCTGCTTTCCAGTGACGCAAACCGACAACCTAAGCCTAGGGACTTCAAATGGAGAACCACAAGGCTCCGCTAGGTTAGGCGTGATAAAGAAATTGACGAGAGCAAAGCTGCCTATCACCAAAGTTGGGTGGCGGGTTTCGAACCTCGGACCATAGGGTTCAAAACACACCGATGATAGTAACGAAACTGTTACACTACCACCTATCATCAGCTAGTAGGCCGGTGACCAACGATCCTATTTGAGTGCCTTTCGCTTTTCCTTATATCCTCCCGTCAAACTGCAGACGTATTTTCATGCGGGGTTCAACCAGCTCCATAATGTCAGTCACTGACAATGGTTTCTTTTTTACAAGATGAGGATCAGCCGTTATCAGATTCTGTATGCTTTCCGGAAATGGTTTCCCCGATATGTCTGTAAGCCGCGATGTGACATCAAATGATACCACTTATTCGTTTGTTTCATCGTTGATTTATCCATTCCATCCAGGAGGAGTATAACAGAGATTTTTTATACCGTTATCTTTTGAAACGGAGAGATATATATATATATATATATATATATATATATATATATAT